TGGTAGATGGGGTTGATTTTGTTGAGGTCGTTCAGGATGAAGTACAGCAGAGACGCCCTCTGTGCGGCCGGCCGGTAGTTCTCTCTCGCCTCGTTGATTTTCACTTCTGTGATTTTTGCCTCTTGTACCTTGGGACAAACAAAGGGGACCTGAATGGCACCAGCCTGTGTGGGGTCTGTGTCCTCCGCAACCCGCCGCTGTCCAAAGCCCCAAGCCCTGCTGTTCTCTCGGAAGCCACCGGAGGGAGACTCAGAGCAGACGGTCAGGCTCCCTGCTCCCTGCCCGAGCCCCCAGCCTGGGGTCCGCTCAGGGGTAGCACCTTCCTTTCTCAGCGCCCCCCCCCCGTGCATGCACGCGCTCGCCCCGGGCGCCGGCAGGGGGCGCTCCCGCGGCGGCCGCACCTTCTCCTCGATCTCGCTGGCCGTGTGCTTGGTGGTCTCCAGGTTCTCCACCAGGGCCGTGTCCCCCAGGAAGTTTCCCGAGGCGGCTGACAGGCGTGCCAGCAGGGAGTCCTCCAGCTCCTTCAGGACAATCTTAAATTCGTTCTGAGACTTGGTGAGGTTTGCCTGGGAGGTAGCAGAGACCGGGGCAGGATCAGCCGGGGCACTCCTCGCCCCTCTCCAGCGGCCCGGGCCTCGCAGGGTGAGAAGTGAGGTCAAGCCTGGAAGGAAGCCGGCACGGTGGGGGTGCTCCCCCCCGCAGCAGGGCAGTGGCCCTGCCCCCTTGAGTCTGTGTGGGGAGTATGTGGAGATGTAGTGGCCCTGGGCGCCTGGAAGCCCCCTTGTGCGGCTGAGATGGGGCAGCAAACTACACTCCTGTCAGCTGGCCGCGGGGTGCTTCAGAGCCGTGTGCACAGCCCTGTGGGGCGGAGGTGGTCAGTGGTGGAACTGTGGCCTTCTATGCCACAGACCCAGGTTCGATTCTTGGCCAGCGTACGACCCGTCAGTCGGGCTGTGTGTTGCTGGGATGTGAATAGGTCTCAGTGGGGCTTCCAGACCAAGATGAAGCAGAGAGGCCTGGGGTCAGCTTCCAAAACCAGCCAGTGAACCCCTACAGGTCGCAACTGTTCCTTCTGCAGCCTGTCGTGGGGACGGTGTAGGACCGGGCAGTGTTTCATTCGGCTGCGCAGGGGGCACCGTCAGGGAGGCGGCCTCCTGCTGAGCGTGTCGCCGTCAGGGAGATGGCGTCCTGCTGAGCGTGGGGCGTCGTCAGGGAGGTGGCTCACGTGGCATCTAACACAACATCGTGTCACTGTGACTCCTGCTCTTTAGACGAAGGGGTCATTGAATTCAGAATGAGATTTGGGAGCCGGTCGACAGGGCAGCTACGAAGGAAGAAGTGCCTCGCTGTGTCGCACATGGAGATAAGACCCATATGGGAAGCCAGGAGTCCTTCACAGAGGAGCAAGGGGCTGCTCGGGACTTGCACACACGTGGCGCCCCGTGTCCCGGGGCTCCCAGCTTGTCTCTGTGCAGACGGTTCCCATCTGACGTCAGGCCCAACATCAGGACCCCTTACCTTCAGCTGCTCAAGATCGGGGCGCTCCTTGGCCACCACGGCTGCCAAGAGCTGGTCTTCGAGCCCATCCCTGGTGACCAGGAAGTTGATGAGGGTGCACTGAGCCTGCATCTCGGGCTTGTAGTGTGGGTTGAAATACTTGGTGTGCAGGATCAGGCGGAATTTGGGGTGGTACTCCACCTCCTTGTCGCCAATCTTAATGAACCTGGTGGTGAGCAGAAGAAAGGGTTACGGTGACACCAGCCACTGTGTACCCGCTCTGAGATGCCCGGACCTGCCTTTGCCAGCCAAGGTCCTGCTGACGCCAGGGACCAGGCCTGGGGGCTGCCCTGAGCCTGTGTGGCCACTGGGAGGGTCCTGGCACTCTTCTTGCTGTTGCTCTGCGACCTGGGTCCTTGGTGAAGGCACACCTCCCTTGCCCTCCGGTGGGTTGTTGGTGTCTTTGTAGCTGTGTGTTACACTCACCTGGGGACCCTTTCCACACACACTTGGCCTGGGCGCCGCCCCAAACCCGCTTATATTCGGAAGCACCAGCATCCAGTTCCGAACACTGGAATGTTCTGGAAGCCCCCAGGGGTTCTGAGTAGTAGCCTGGGTTGACGGCCGGGTCTGTGGGCTCGGTCTGCTGAGCCCTCTGTGGCTTTACTGCTCTCTGGCTCCCTGTCTCTGCTTTCCTCTTCCTGGTCCAGCTCACTTTTGGGGGGACCCCTGGCTATCTCCACCTCCTAGGTGTCACCACTCAGGCCAGGCCCCTCTCTGAGCCTCAGACATCAGCACAGGACTTGACTTCCTGCCTCTGTTCCAATATGCTGCCTGAACCTCAGCCTTTAAAGGAAGCCCATACTCACTCTGACATTTATATTTTTAAGTTGATTTAATCATTTCTATTATAAAAGTCAGACAGGTCCCATGGCCATCAACAAATGAAGGGACAAACAAAATGTGGCACAGCCATACAGTGGGCGGAGCCCTGGCGGTGCTGTGGTTAAAACGCTTGACTGCTAACCCAAGGTTGGTGGGTCAAACCCAATAGCTGCTCCACGGGAGAAAGGTGTGGCAGCCTGGGAATTACAGCCTGGGATTGCCTGTGGGGCTGTTCTGTAGGGTCATTGTGAGTCTGAATGGACTCCATAGTAAGGGAGCCATACAGTGGAATAGTACACAGCTATGAAAAGGAGTGGAGTTGATACAGGCTGCAATGTGGATGTGCTGCGTGGAAGAAGCCAGACACTAAAGGCTTGTTGCGGGGTCCACTGACATCAATGTCCCGAGGAAGAAATCCACAGAAACAGCATGCAGATTGGTGGTTGCCAGGGGCAACTGTAGGGAGGGGGAAGAGGGAGTGGGGAGTGACTGCTTCATGGGCGTGGGCTCCCCCGTGGGGGGGATGGAAACATGTTGGAACTAGACCAAGGTGGTGGCCGCACACACTGTGAGTCCTAAATGCCACCAAATTGTTCACTTTCCACTGGTTGGTTTATGTTACATGAGTTTCTCCTCAAGATAAAGTAATGCAAGCTCAGTGTTTGCAAAATGCCTAAAAATAGGAAGGAGGCTGTCACCATCAACTACCCCTGTCTGGAGATATCCCTGACTGGGATGAGGCCCCACAGTCTTGGCTCTGTCCTCTGGGAGCTGGTGGCTCTTAGGGACCAGCTGATGTCTTTGCCCTCTCTCTGCTGTTTTCAGTTGTGATGGGGGCGAAAGTCCACAGAGCAAATTTGTTTTCTACACAGCAGTTCCTACACATTTTGTTCCACGACACTGACTACAGTCGCCGCACTCTAACAGCTCTCTTCCCACTTCCTCCCTGTGGTCCCTCTTCCCTGTGCCCTTCTTCCCGGTGCATTCCTGCTCCGAGGGTCTCCCTGGCAGACGCTGCCCTTCTGGTCTCCCAGGGCTGACTGTTCTAAGGCGCATACCTACCTGGTGTACATGTTTACCCTATATGCCTGTCTATTGGGTTGGAGGCCTGAATTCCATTCCAGGCCTGAAGGGGGACTAGGGGCCATTGTCTGGGGGGTTTTAACAGTTCCTGTCAGACCAGTAGAAACTCTGGTGGCATACTTGACTGCTAACCAGAAGGCTGGCGGTTCAGACCCACCAGCCACTCCTCGGAAGGAAGATGGGGCAATCTGCTTCCGTAGTGATCCTGCCTCGGAAACCCAAGGAGGGGTCCCTATGAGTTGGGTCCAATTCCATGGCAGTGAGTATCAGACCAGTAGGCCTATTTTTTTATTTTTATTTTTTTTTTATGATTTTGAGTTTTGTTTCGCAAAGTCCACACATTTCCTCTGTGGACTAGGCAAAGGCCTTGCTGAATGTTTATACCTGGACTGAACTGTGGACAGAAAACCCACACTCACCTTCCCTTTTTGATGGTGTTCCTGCCCAGTAAGGGGTCTAACACGGGGTCCACGGTTTCACCTATGTTCTCGATGAGTAAGGCGTCACCTTCCGAAATGGCCTGCTCAATGATGTCCAGGTAGCTGCAGGACACACAGCACAGAAGCGGGTTAGCGGCGCCTGACATGACCAACCAAAAGCAATCCCGTGGCCATGAGGCGATGCCGGCTCATGGGACCCATGTGTTAGAGTCGAACACTGCCACAGCATTTTCCAGGCTGAGCCTTATGGAAGCAGATATCCAAGCCTTTCCTCCTTGGGTTTGTTAACATTGGGGTTCACAGGTCCATCCATCCATCCAACACATGGGAGATGACTGCGGAGTGTCCCCAAGCCAAGGGCTCCATGCAGCCCCTGGGCTGTTTTCGGCCACCCAGCTCCCCACGCACCTCTTCTGTCCCAGGCGGATGGCTTTCAGCTCGCTGCCGTACTTGTTTCGGATCCACTTGATGCCCTGCAGCTGGGCGTCGACGATGAGAGGCCAGCGCTCCGTGTTGCACAGGATGGTGGCGTTCTCCGTGGACATGCGGTCGCTGGGAAGGCCCTGGTTGTTCCAGGTGGCCACGTCCGCGTCGTCCGTCAGCAGACTCAGGGGGTCCAGGCCCTCCGTGATGGGGATGGGGACCTGGGGGGATAGCACACGTTCTTGGAAGGGCTGAGGGGACCTCACGGAGCACCGGAAAACAGTCCTTCAAGTGATGCTGCAGCTTGGCGGGTCTAACTCTGGGCGAGCCTTTGACCCCTTCAAACAGAGCAGCCGTGTGAGAAGCCAGAGGCCCTGTCCGCGCCAGCTGTCCCAACCACAGCTGAATCCCACCTGGGCCAGAGCCCCGGCTGGGAAGTGCAGCTGCCTCTGGCCGAGCCCGCCCGGCCCGGCACCCCCCCCGTTTCCCGGGGTAGTGAGCACGGCAGGGCCTCTCACCTTTAATTTCTTTATGTAAGGGATCCAGAACTTCTCCATCAGCTCATTGCGGTACTTCTTGGTGAAGTAGCCCACATACGAGACGAAGGCAGAGACCAGCAGGACGTCCCCACACAGGGTGATGCCCTGCTTCTTGAAGCTTTCCACGGACTCAGCCCAGCGGACGTTTTCTGAGGCTAATCCTCCCACCAGCCTGCAGTGGGAGCAGGTGGGGCTGAGGTAACAGAGGCATTCTGAGGGCGCGAGGGGCTTGGGTGAAGGTCGTCAGGGTGTTCTCCACCCTCAGACCGGGTATGGGTCTTCACCCGTGGAAGTGCCAGGCGGGGCACGTGCCAGAAAGCCACATGCAGGCACACCTCGCTTCATTGCACCTCACCCATCCGACTCGCTTTATTGCGCCCGCGTGACTGTGCCTTGCTTTATTGCGCCTCACCTGAGCATGCCTCACTTCATTGCACTGCGTCTGAACGTGCCTTGCTTTACCGCACCCCACCTGATCTGCCTCCTTTATCACACCTCGCCTGAGGGTGCCTTGCTTCATTGCACCCCGCAGACCCTATGTTTTCACACATGGAAGGCTTGTGGCCACCCTGCAGTGAGCAAGGGGATCGGCGCCATTCTTCCCAGCATGTGCTCGCTTGGTGTCTCTGTGACGTTTTGGTAATTCTCACACTCTTTCAAGCTTTTGCACCATGCGATTGCCCATTTAATAGGAAAACAAAACTAACTCACTCCCATCAAGTCGATTCCGACTCATAGTGACCCCTGTTGGGTTTCTGAGGCAGTAAATCTTTACAGAAGTAGATTAGCCAGTCTTCCTTCTGCAGAGTGGCTGGTGGGTTTGAACCTCCAGCCTTCTGGTTAGCAGTCAAATGCCTTAGACACTGTGCCACCAGCGCTCCTTCAGTCGACTCCAGTCGAGTGTAAACATAACTCTCACACATCTGGGAAACAAAAGTCCCCGTGACTCGCATCACAGCGGTGATCTGGGACCAAGCACCCGCAGTGTCTCTGCTGGGTGCCTGTGACGCTTTCTGGAGGCGCCTGGAGTGCCACACCCCCTTCCCCACGCCCTCTGCCCTGGTTCTCACCTACGCTGCCTTGTGACGTCTCACTTGCGCGCCAGGTATGCTGTCAGCACAGCTCTGGGCCAGTTGGAGGGGGCGGGGTCTGGTGGAGGCCGTGGTGGCCACGGGACAGTCTGGCACCCACAGGACCACAGGGTCTCAGGGGTGGGTTCCAGAGGTGGCGCCCCAGGCCTTTCCTCTGAGCCTCCCCGGGGTGGCCTGGCGCCGCCCGCATTCCGTTAGCAGCGGAGCGCATTAACTGCTCGCACCTCCCAGGGCTCCAGTGTCTCGTGAGAGGAGGCACATTTGGACACACAGGGAGAAGACCCCGTGGCGGCAGAGGCAGTGCCAGGGCTGAGGTGTCTACAAGCCAAGGATGGCCGGCCGCCACCGGAAGCTGGCGGCGGGGAGGCACGGGACGGACTCCCCCAGAGGCTCCAGAAGGGAGCAGCCCTGCTGACACCCCGATGGCAGACTTCTGGCCTCGGGATCCACGAGAATAAAATCACGTTGTTATAAGCCACCCAGTAGCCCCAGGAAACAGTCCGTGCAGGGAAAGCAGAAGCCAGGACACTGCGGCTAGCAGTGAGGGCCTCACTCCTGGCCCCACAAGGCTGTCCTGCTGGGCTGGGCCCTTGCCGCTGGTCGGGAAGGCGCAGATGGGGTGAAGGGGGGCACACGCTACCTGTTCGCCAGCGAGATCACCCTGTTGGTGGCGTCCGCCTCCTGCTGACATTTGATTTTCTCGGCCGTTGCTTTCTCAAACGCTGAGGTCAGGTTGCTCAGGTTGGCATTAAGTTCCTGGAGAGACGAGCGGGAAGGTCCTGAAGGAGAGTCACGTGGGCCCTCCCCAGCCCCCTTGACGGTGAGAGCAGGCCCGTCCCCACGAGGCCTGGCGGGGACCGGGCTTCCCACGAAGGCCCGGGGCCCTGCAGCCTCCAGCCACCACCGAGCGCTCCGGCGGCAGGGTCCCCTCTCGACGCTCACTGGTCCGTGACAGCAGGCTGTGGCCCTGCACTTGGGGCCTTCCCTGGGGAGCGGGCGGGCACTCACAGCGATCTTGTTTTTGATCCGGGAGAGCTTCTCCTGGGCCTCGGCCAGCTCGGCGTTGGCCTCCTCCAGGGCCTGCCTCTTGGGGGCCACGTCGCAGTAGACCTCGTAGAAGCGGACGATGTTGATACACCAGGAGCACAGGCCTGCTGCGGCCGTGGACTTGGAGCGGATGAACTCGGGGTCGAACGTGGGGTTGCCTTGGTAGGGCCTGGGGAGGGGACAGGAGGCACTGCTGGGAGGGCTTGGCCGGGCCGCAGCCCTCCGGGGCTGTTCTCGACTCTGCCTGGGGGCACTACCCCAGCCACTGGTTACAGGCGACGGCCAGGGGGCTGGGGAGTTCTGTGCCCTTTTGGTTCTGTTTGTTGCCCTCACCACACGCCTGTCAGTGCAGGCTGTGTGTTGCCACAGGCAGATCTATGGCAACTAATGCCCAGGGCAAGCCCTGAAACTCTCACCAACACCCAGCTTTCAGGTGACTTTACATAATATCAGCTTAATTAATGCACCAAGGCACGAAGACAAGAGCTGCGCCTTCCTGGCTCTCACCGATGATAGCCTCCAGGACGTGCCAAGTCATCGTTTCCAGTTCCTCTGTCTGCACTCTGCAGACCCTGCACTCGGCCCTGACCCATGGAGCCTCTCAGACAGGAAGGTGTTAGCTGAAACTTGCTCCTAGCTGGGGATGACCACAGTGATGGTTCACAGAAACTGCTCAGGGGCGCGCCCTTCCGTGGGGCCCAGGGCGCATGCCACGCCCACCACACCTTAGATGCACCTCCGCGTGTTGCTAAGACGCTGAGCAGGATTCAGACTACGAGGGACAAGGAAGAACGGCCTGGCAACCTAATTCCCCAAATCAGCCAGTGATGACTCCAAGCATCGTCAGGGCCCCGTGCAAGCCGCCATGGGCTGCGGCAGGGCCGGCCAGCACTGTTCCACTGGGCATGGGGTTGCC